TGCTGTGAGCTGTGATGCCACAGCACTCTACCGAGGGTGACAGAGGGGGACTCTGTCTCAAAAAAAAAAAAAAAAGTGCTCCCATCCTGCTAGGGGGTTAGACACCTACCTGGAGAAGCAATCCCTGTTCAGAGGCAGACTTGCCTGGATATGGGCAGAAGCTGAGGATCTGGCTCTATTAAGTCAGGGAGGTGAGATTAGGAATTGGGGCGGGGTAAAGCTCAGCAGTCATTTGTTCTGGCCCCTTAGGGTAACCAATCGCTATGATCCAAATGGCCCTATCGCCCATGGCCCCCACCCCTAACTCAGCCCTAAAGACTCCAGAATGGGAAGCAGGCAGCTCACATTCAACAGCATTCCTAAATGGATTAGGCTTTGAGCCTAAGTCACTCTTGGCACTCTGTGCTGGAGGGAGTGGGAAAAGAGGAATTGAAAAAAGACCAAAAAGTTGATTTTCCAACTCCTACATAAGAAATAACAATCCTCTAAGAATACATCTGCAATCATCAGAGGAACAAGGGTGGGATCATACTATTTCAAATCTTAAAGAAATCTCTGGAAATCACTACGATAAGCACCATTTCACAGACAAGCACATTAAGGCCCAGATGGTTACAGTGACTTTCCCAAAAGCACAGAGACAACTACTGTCATAGGCTAGATTAGAACTGAGGTCTAGTGATTCAACTGCTCACCATGCATATCATACTGTCTTCAGAAGCAATCTTCTGGGGTACTTATTACTGTGGGGAAAAACATACCAGAGAATGCCACGAATACAGATAACCTATAACATGATAACAATTAACATTTGTTGAATACCTACTGTATGACCCAGCAGAGTGTTAGGTGCTTTGTAAACACTAGTAATAATAAATAATAGGCTGAGTCTATTATATGCCTGTAATGCTAACACTCTGGGAGGCTGAGGCAGGTGGATTACTTGAGCTTATGAGTTCCAGACCAGCCTGAACAAGAGTAAGACCCCATCACTACTAAAAATACAAAAACTATCTGGGCATTGTGGCAGGCCCCTGTAGTACCAGCTACTCAGAGGTAAAAGGATTGCTTGAACCCAAAAACACTAAGGTTGCTGTGAGCTATCCAGGGTGAGACAGTAAGACTCTGTCTCAAAAAAAAAAAAAAAAAGTAATAATAAAGTAGTGATAACTATCTGGTTAAAACATTAATACTCTCTAGCTCTTACAAGAATACTGAGAAGTTAAATAACTTGCTTAAAGTTATACGGCATGATACAAAAAAAAGGGACAAACAGTACTGTCCAGTGATAGGTGATTTACCGGGGCCCTGTTCTCACAATTCCCAAAACTAAGGCAGCAGCAGAGTGTTAAATGTAGTCAGTCATTCACAGGATACAGTTTACATTTCAACTAATTAAGAGACAGATTAATGTAAACTGAGTTTTCAGTTCTTGCCAACTAGGAGAAAGATCGGACTGTCTTCTGGCTCTCCCACATTGTGCTCTTGAGACACCACCTAGTTGGCAAGATATGGTCTCATGAAGACTAAACCTGACCTCTGAATCTTGTGGAGCCAGTGAAGAAAAGAAATCAGAGCTGGCAACTCCTGGATCACATGTTCCACAGAGCCACAAATGCTAAAGCCTAGAACAAGGTTCTCAACAGGCCATTTTATTTTAACTTAAAGATGCCCTGGGTCTTTGAATATTGCAACACCCCTGAGTTTGCTCACTTGCCTTGGTAAGTTTTTATTGCTATGATAGAGATAATGGGGACTGTTAGAGAGTGAAAGAAGAAAAGATGTTTGCAAATAACATGCAGCTCTAACAGAACACAGATGTAATGGGACCCTCTACTAACAGGAATTTCTGATAGAATTCTATTTGCATGAGAACCCTTCTGGATGGCTGAAGAGAGAGCCAGACAAGACAAGAAAAACCTGGCTAGGTGCAGTGGCTCATACCTGTAATCCTAGCACTCTGGGAGGCCGAGGATAGATTGCTCAAGCTCTAAAGTTCAAGACCAATCTAAGCATGAGCAAGACCCCATCTCTACTAAAAATAGAAAAACAAACAAATAACAACAACAAAAAAACAGGTGTTGTGGTGCATGTCTGTAGTCCCAGCCACCTGGGAGGCTGAGACAAGAGCATTACTTGAGCCCAGGAATTTGAGGTTGCTGTGAGCTATGATAACATGGTACTCTACCCAGGGTGACAGAGACTCTATCTTTAAAAAAAAAAAAAAAAAAAGACAAGAGGGCAGCGCCTGTGGCTCAGTGAGTAGGGCACCAGCCCCATATACCAAGGGTGGTAGGTTCAAACCCACCCCTGGCCAAACTGCAACAAAAAGATAGCTGGGCACTGTGGCAGACACCTATAGTCCCAGCTACTCAGGAGGCTGAGGCAGGAGAATCACCTAAGCCCAGGAGTTGGAGGTTGCTGTGAGCTGTGACACCACAGCACTCTACCGAGGGCAATAAAATGAGACTCTGTCTCAAAAAAAAGAAAAAAAAAAAGACAAGAAAAACCTGACCTCATCCCACACAATTCTTAGAACAGAGCAGCGACTCAAACCTTATCGACTAGCATCTCTTTGAGAGTGGAAGCCAAAAGGAAGAGTTGAGATGTTTCACTAAAACTGTAACACATTAGGGCTCAAACAGCAGGTTGTGGGACCCCTTTTTAAAAACCTAACTAACTTTGGTCACATGCTGCACTGAATTGCTTTGATTCCTATCCCAGACAGATTCCCCCAAAATCTATACTTGTGCCTTCCTCAGGGTCTGAAAGGTTCTGGGGGCCCTTATTAAAATGCTAATAGGTACTAACACCTTAGAAAATCTGTCTGCCAGCTGAATGTAAATTTTTTCAGAAAATTTCAGGCAGATACTAGGGGGTATGTAGAAGGGAAAAGCCTGTGTTGGCTACTCAAGCCCAGCGCTGGTCAGCGTTAACTGTCTGGTCCTGACCAAAGCCAACACTTTGCCCCTCACCGGAGCGGGGCTCCCCCAGCGCCTTTCAGTCAGAGCTTGGGCCACTCTGGGACAGTGCTGCCCTCTCTTACCTCCGTGGTTCAGTCAGGGCTAAGAAGGTCCCTTCGTTCTTCCCGAAACCAGCATCATCCCCTTTTTTCTAGGAAGGCAAAGATGAGGAGTTAGGAAAGCATGTATCCCGCCCCTACTTCCTCGCCAGGCTCTGGGACGCTGCACGGTGTCAGGACAGAATGAAGGAGACTTCATGAACGATACATTCCAGATTCGTGTCCTCCCGCTGGGGCTTGCGGTTTGCCCTTCGCCCTCTGCTCCTCCATCGTCCTTACCCCTCCTTCCTTCCCGGTTTCCCTCTTCCTTCCACAAGAGCGGGGACCATCACCGTGACACTCTCACTTCAGGTCGTCCCAGTACCCACGTGGGGGCCAGCTCGCTCCGCCCTTCCCCACTTCTTTGTCCCCACCCCAACAAAGCTTTCCCTCCCCGCACGTGGCCACAACCTCCCAGCCCACCTGCCAGGTCTCCACGCGTTCGAAGCCGTGGAGCCTGACCGCAGTGCTCTGGCAGAGTGACAGCGGGGCCCGCCCCCTGCCCGCCCCACGCACACCGCCATGTTTACTGAGGGCAGACGGAGTCTCCCGAGCCTCTGCGTAGACGCGATCTCGGAGTCAGCGCGCGGGGAACGCAAGGCTAAAGGAGCCTGAAGTCGCGAGCGGTGACGAGGAAGGCCTTCACTAAAGGAGGGTATGGAGAGGGAATAGGCCAGTGTCTCCGAACTAGGGCTGGGACTCATGGAGATGAACACGGACCCCCCACGGCCAGCAACTACTCACAGCCACCCCCGGACAACTAGACCCGGACGCCTAGGCCACGCCCCCTCGCGCACCAGTGGGCGGAGCCGCGCACGCCAGGTTTGCTTGCCTCCAAGAAGGATGTAGGGAACGGAAAATGGCTCCTCGCTGGCCGGGCACTCTTAAGAGTCTGATTCTCTGGGTTGGGGCCCTACTCCTCGCTCTGGGCGTGGAAAAGGCTCTGGCGCTACCCGAGGTACACAAGCAAGTTTGATGTCAGGCTGAAACAGGGTTACTAGCCAGTGGTGTGTGTTGCTTGCCCGCGGCTCTTCCCTCCCCACAGCTGACTTCGTCCCTGGAACCACCTTACCACAACCGGGTCCTGTTTTCCTGAGCACTCAACCATGCCCCCGCCCTGTCAATGTTAAAAGACCTGTGAAACTTCGACTCCTTGTTGTTTAACCTTTTAATAAGTTCTTTCTACAGACGAGTCTTCTGGCTCTTCCAAGCTCTCGACTCACGAATACCGTACATATCGTGCGGTGGTAGAACTATTCTTCCTGTGATGCTTGATGCGTTCTTTTTGTACCTGAGTTCTTTTACACCCAGCTAAACAGGTTGTCAGAATAAATCTCTGGAGAGAGCATAATAAATATGCTCGAGTAGTGAACTGTATGTCTCTGGTGAGCTCTAGGAAAAGAAATGGCATTTCCTAGTCTAGCCTGGTATAAGGGTAGCGCATGAACCATTTCTCCACCCTGTGTGAGAGGAAATTTCTGGAGAGGTGTGCTAAGCGATTAATTCTTGATCCTTGCTCATTCTTTTCTTGGCTTTTCTTTCTGGAATTCTAATAAGGTTTCTTTCTTTTCTGCAGATATGCACGCAATGTCCAGGGAGTGTGCAAAATTTGTCAAAAGTGGCCCTTAATTGTATGCAGACACCAGAGCTAACGCTGCATGCCCGCTGCTGCCTGAATCAGAAGGGCACCATTTTGGGGTGAGGGAGAAGATGATGTCTTTGTATACTCGATACAGGCCATTCCTTGGCTTTGCTGCTTTTCTCCCGTTATAATTTTTTGAGATTAAACCTATTATGGTTTTAGCTCCAGCCATTATGCAGGTGTCTACCAAAATTATATCTCTTTTAGTGTCCTTTGGGCTCTTCATGCCCCAGGTATTGTGGGTAGTTCTAGCTTCCCAGTGAGTACATTCTAACACCAAACGTAAAATTCCATTTTCTTTCCCTAGCCTCCCTAAATACTTATCTGTATTAAACTTCTTGAAAACTGTTTTTCTGTTATCATTCTTTTGCTTTAATACTATATTTGATAACTATTGCCCTCAGGATAAATTTGTCTTTGTTCAGGCCTTTCTCCATACCTGAAATTGCTGTCTTCCTCTCCAAAATTAGGACATATCTATCCTTTAATTACAGTATCATTTGTGTGTGCTCCCTACAACTAAATCCCAGGGTAATATCAGGTTTTTTTAAGCTTCCTCTAACCTTTAGAGTCTATGCCAAATTTATTTATATACTGCTCTTTGATTTCTTTCATATTATAATTTAATGTTTACATTGTTTTTATTTTTGGTGATGGTGTTGTTTTCATACTGCATTGTAAAGTACTTGAAAGCTAAGATAATGACTTATATTCTTCGATTTTTCGCAGTGTAGGCACTCAGTAAATATTTGTAGAATAAAGGAATGAACCACAATAGATGTTAGATATTGGAGAAAAAAATAATGTGACATGATTTTAATGTCTAGACGTTTATAACCAGTAGGAAATACACTTGGAAAAAAACTTCCATTTATGGGACTTGAATTTTTTTTTTTCATTTAAAAGCCTTCTGTGGATCTGAAAATCATACTATAATGAGATTCCTTTATGTAGACAAGAACCACAAATTTCCTCAAACATATGCACAGATGCATAGGTATACTGACAGAACAGTGTTGGCCAAAAGAATTTTCTGCAATGACGGAAACATTCCATATTTGTGCTGATCAGTACAATAGCCACAATATGGTTATTCCATTAACATCTGAAATATGACTAGTACAAATGAGACACTGAATTTTTAGGTTAAATTAATTTAAATTCAAGTAACTAGTGGTAACTACTAAATGGTGCAATATTAAGATATCTACTATAGTTTGTAGCTCTGAGCACCACTGTATTCAATTACTATTAGCTGAAAGGGGGGTAGTCAAATACGGATCTTGCCTTGGATGAAGAAAAAGAGATACATAGTTATGTTGGTTACTTTGTATCCTCAGGCTGGATCTCCAGAACTGTTCTCTGAAGGATCCTGGTCCAAACTTTTCTCAGGCACATACTGCTGTCATCATGTAAGTGGTTAGGTACCTTCCTGCCCCAAAGCAAATATGGCAGAAGGTTAATAGAAAAATCTTTAGAGATAAACTCCTAAAACGATGGATAAATATTAATGCCTAAATTTAGACAACTCAGGATAAGGATTGGATTACCAGTCCAGGAAGATGTGTGAATATAAAACAGGGTGATTCCCAGAACAGATTCTAATAGTGTGTGCTTTGCAGAGACCTGCAAGCAAATCCCCTCAAAGGTGACTTGAACAACATCTTCCATGGTTTTACTCAGCTCCAGACTCTGTGAGTAAGGGCATGGGAAGAGAATCAGAAGTGGGCAGTGCTGTTCGCTTAGCAACTTTGGGCTATATTTTATAACTACCTGTGTTGTCTTCAGGGTACTGCCACAAGATGCCAATTGTCCTGGAGGTATTAATGCCTGGAATACTGTTATCTCTTACATAGATAACAAAATCTGCCAAGGGCAAAAGAACCTCTGCAATAGCACTTCGGACCCAGGTATGCTGTCTCACCTCCAACCTTCCAGAAAATGCCCTTCCTCCCTTGCATTCTCCACTTTAGATTAGAAAGACAAAGTTGCTTAAGAGTTCTAAGCACTTGGAAAGAAAAGATCTTAAAATATTTGTTGTTATTGTTAATGTTCTTATTATCCGGAATCTTCTTTCTTCTACCTTTGACCTAGAAATGATTGAAAGAATCTAAGTGGAAATAGATAATTGAGAAACATACCTAATGAGATACAGTGATAGTCTATTTCTCTATGGCTTTCAGAAATGTGTCCTGAGAATGGATCTTGTGCACCCAATGGTCCAGGTCTTCTGCAGTGCGTTTGTGCTGATGGCTTTCACGGATACAAGTGTGTGCGTCAGGTGAGGAATTAGGCCTTCTAATTAAGAATGAGAGGAATACATACCTCTGTAAGAGGAGAGCCACATAAGACCAGAAGCTGATAGAAATACCTAGAGGATGAAAGCTACAGGAGAATTGCCCTGGTGTAGGGATAGGTACATTAGGAAAGAACTAAATGTTAGGAAGTAGCCCTCTGTGTAACGCCATCTGGGATGTTTTTGATCTGTTGTTCACAGGGCTCCTTCCCACTGCTTATGTTCTCCGGGATTCTGGGATCTACTACACTGTCCATCTCCATTCTGCTTTGGGTGACCCAACGACGAAAAGCCAAGACTTCATGAACCAAATAGATCTTCCTAAGAGCATCCTGATCTTAGCCCTTCCAGGGAAATTGCTTCCGAGATAGGCATCATTGGCCAGTGGATCCTCCTCAAGTTTGAGGCCATTAGACGAAGATGGAAAATTGTACCACCCTGGAGTGGACCAGTACCAGTTCCCATTTGTGCTGTTGCCTATAATAAAGTGTTTTTATTATTTATTTATTTATTTATTTATTTAGGGAAAGGCACCCCGCCTTAGTGTATTTCTTGCCTGAGGTGGGAGGGACCACAGTACAGCCACTGCTGTTTTCAGGTTTCCCTGGTGGTGCCGGCTCTCACCGCGCGGCTCCGCCGGCCCCGCCCCTTACGTGCACGGCCCCGCCTGGCGCCGCCGCAGTCCCCGCCCCTGAGCGCGCCCGAGGCTTTTGGTCTGCCGCGTCTGCCTGCTCTCCCGCGGCCGCGCGGTTAGCCACGTGGAGCGACTCCGGAGCGCGGTCCTCACGTGGTTCCAGTGGAGTTCCAGTGCTTACCTCTTCTCCGTACTCGCTCCCGCCTCTGAGCTGCGTTCCCATGGCGGCCCTAGTGTTGGAGGACGGGTCGGTCCTGAGGGGCCAGCCCTTTGGGGCCGCTGTGTCGACTGCCGGGGAAGTGGGTAAGCAAGCTGGGGCAGGCTGCCGACCTCATCCCACTCTCTGATGCCCCTCTCTGCCCAGCCTTCCCGGTCCAGACCCCGCCATTTTCCCGCCTGCACACTCCCTCGTCCCCATTGGGTGCCTATGGCCCCAGCCCCTTTCATCACGACCAAGGCAGCCTCCACCGGGTCGTGCTCATTACACAGGGCAGTGTTTCCAAGGGTGCCCTGCTTTTTTCTTGCAGTGTTTCAAACCGGCATGGTTGGCTACCCCGAGGCCCTCACCGACCCGTCCTACAAAGCACAAATTTTAGTGCTCACGTATCCTCTGATCGGCAACTATGGCATCCCCCCAGATGAAGCGGATGAGTTTGGTCTCAGCAAGGTAGCCACACCCAGTGCTTTTTCTACATTCCTTTTCAGATCACTAATTGTTAACTATTAGTGATTTGAGAGACTTTGACACCCTGCTGGGCATCCTGGAGAAGACAAAGATACCCAGATGATTAGTACTCAGTTGACTAGTTAAGCTGGGGTTGTTAAGTACCTTGAGAGGCACAGAGTGTTGGAGGCCTGGAGGAGGAGAGAGCTATTCCCTTTGTAGGAGCATCAAGGTTCTAGACATAGTTGAGAGTATTGTGTATGTAGTGAAGGCAGGGATCAAGGAAAGTGGCAAGAAGTGTAATGGAACAATGTCTAGTTTGGAATGCAGTAGTCTTGAGAAAAAAGCCTGCAGGCAGATTAGATACAGCAAGCATGGAGGGACCAATCCAGAGTCTGAGCTCAGTTTGGTAAAGAACATTGAAGGTTTTTTTTTAGCAGCAGTACCATGTGATGGGAGCAGTGCTTTAGGACTACACGAATTAGCAGGAAAAAGACTGGAAACTATAAGGTCACACATTTCTCAGGGACAGTGCTAGTTTCCCTACAAAACCAGTGACATAATCATCTTCTACTATAGACCTACTTAGATTGCCTTATCTGATTTTCTGCTTTTCAGTCCTGTTCTTAACCTCTGGGCAGGAAAACTTTTTCTTCCTATAGCGAGGTTTACCCTATTGCTTCTGCTCTGGAATTTGGAAACTAAGTTGCTCTCTGAGAGTTCAAGTAATAAAACAAATCAACCTATAGTAACTAAGGTAATAGTAGAAGTCACTGTAGCCTAGATGCAGTATTTCTCAAAAGTAGTTTTGTCCAGATTGTAAACATTCTGGGTCTTTATTTGTTTTACTTTAAAAAATGTTTGAGACACAGTCTCATTTTGTTGCCCTCAATAGAGTGTCATAGTATCATAGCTCACAGCAACCTCAAACTCCTGGGCTCAAGTAATCATCTTGCCTCAGCCTCCCAAGTAGCTGGGACAACAGGCTCCTGCCACAACGCCTAGCTATTTTTTAGAGACAGGATGTCATTCTGCAGCTCAGAACTCCTGAGCTCAGGTGATCTACCTGCCTCAGCCTCCCAGAATGCTAGGATTACAGGTGTGAGCCACCTTGCCCAGCCTCTGGGCCTTTAGTTCTTAATGTGCTTTCCTGTTCACCATAACCTTGGGGACAGAAACTTCTGGATGAAGGGCACATTTATCATTATTCCTGGAAAGGAATTTATAAATTCATCATAAACCTGTCAGTACACTGCATCCTGGTTTCTAATGCAATTACCTCATAAATTTGGTTAACATATTATCGGTAGTCAGCTTTGTCAGCTCTAGGCATACTGACAAAATAGAGTTTATAAAACTAAAATTGAGACCCTGGTGGGACCAGAGTGAGTGAGGCCTCCTACTGGCCCAGCACTAAAGCTGTTGTAGCACATGTGCTGTACATGCATTTGAGCATGAACAGATTACTCCACTTGGCCAGATTGAGACTGAAAGCTAGTCTCAATGTGCATGTTCCTTAAACTTTTCACAACTGAGCTGAATGTTATTTAAATATACCACTCTCAGGCCAGGCGTAGTGGCTCACACCTGTAATTCTAGGCACTCTGGGAGGCTAAGGCAGTTGGATTACCTGAGCTCATGGGTTCAAGACCAGCCTGAGCAAGAACAAAACTTTGTCCCTAAAAAATGGCCGGGCACTGTGGCAGGCCCCTATAGTCCCAGCTGCTTGGGAGGCTGAGGCAAGAGGATCTCTTTAGCCCAAGCATTTGAGATTGGTGTGAGCTATGATGCCACAGCAGTCTACCAAGGGCAACAAAGTGAAACTCTTATCTCAAAAAAATAAATAAATAAATAAATGAATGAATAAATATACCACTCCCAGGCCAGGCGTGGCAGCTCATGCCTATAATCCTAGCACTCTGGGATTACCTGACCTTAGGAGCTTGAGACCAGCCTGAGCAAGAGTGAGACCTCTTCTCTAAAACTAACCAGGTGTTGTAGTCCCAGGTACTTGTTAGGCTAAGGCAAGAGTATCACTTGAGTCTAAGAGTTTGAGGTTGCTGTGAGCTATGATACCATGACAATATCAAGGGTAACGATCTAAGACTCTCTCAAAAATAAATAATTCTACTACTCCCTCCCACATAAACTTTCTATTTAGTTATTAAATGCTTATCTGTGTATTGAGTGACGAGTTTATATTACCTTTTTTGAAATGATAATCTCAAATGAAGTTTAAGGGAATCATACCTAGTATTGAGCCTTGAACCTTTATTTTTTTTTAATTTAGTAATACATACCTACATGTATTTTATCACACAGTTTTTATCACTGTCTATAATTGATACCTTGTTTACTTATGTGTTACCTTGCTAATTTTCTAGCTCCCTATATCAGAAATTAACATCCTAGAGACAGAGGTCTCATCTTTTCTTGCTTACTGCTCACACACTGCCTGCACCTAGTAGGCACTCAGTGAATATCTGCTGGTTGACACCATATGCCTTGCTCTTGAAGCATTCACAGTTTTGTGGCTGAGTGACACATAACATATTTATAATACAAAGTAAATAGCAATAAAGAGGTGGAAATAAAGTGTTAGGTGAGGGTGAAGTCTAAGCTGTAATGAGTGAGCAGAGGGGGCTTTGCAATCTCAGTTTTGGATAGTATCATTTTTAGTTAATAGCCAGGCACCCTGGGCCCATGTCATTCAGTGAAGCTGAATATAGGGTTCATGGCCACACAGTAGAGGGAAAATGCTATAAAGAGATGTTGTCCTTGAGTTCCTCATTGATCTCCTTTCACCTGCAGTGGTTTGAATCCTCGGGGATCCATGTGGCAGGACTGGTGGTGGGAGAGTGCTGCCCCACACCCAGCCACTGGAGTGCCACTCTTACCCTGCATGAATGGCTGCAGCAACATGGCATACCTGGCCTGCAAGGTATGGCGACAAGCACAGGCATGACTGGGCACAGCATAGCATGCGTACGTGGAAAGAATCAAGGTTTCTGTAGTTTTAGGGACCTGGAGTCTAAGGTTGTCATAGAAGGTTTAGAGTCAGGGACTGGAAGAAAGAATTGAGCTATTGTTCTGGTGGAAAATTTTTAGTATAAAAATGAGTAAATGGTATGATGAACCCTTAGCTTCCATTATTATCAACTAAGGGCTAATCTTAATTTCATCAGTACCACTACCACCCTAAATTATTTTGAAATAAGTCTTAGATGTCATATCATTTCATCCACAAGTAGTTTAATATCTGCAGGAAAGGATGTTTTAAAACTATAACAACATTGAAAATACAATGTTCTTGGGACTTGAAAAAAATATATATGGCCATGGTAATGCCTTACATTTTAAAAATAGTAGTTCTTCATTAAATATCCAAGCAATCAATTCACTTTCCCTAATTATCTAAAAAAAAATTTTTTTTTGAGACATCTCACTTTGTTACACTCAAGAGAGTGCTATGGCATCACAGCTCATAGCAACCTCAAACTCTTGGGCTCAAGCGATTCTGTCACCTCAACCTCCCAAGTAGCTGGGACTACAGGCACTTGCCACAATGCCGATGGGGTCTCACTCTGGCTCAGGCTGGTCTTGAACTTGTGAGCTCAGGCAATCCACATGCCTTGGCCTACCAAAGTGCTAGAATTACAGGTGTGAGCCACCGCTCCTGGCCACAGTTATCTGAATTTTTATTTGAATAAGGTTCTAAGCAAAGTTTATAGGTTATATTTAGTAGATATACCTCTAATCTGTGGACCGTGAACCTACCTGATAAAAATAGATCATTTTTCCTTAGAAATGTCTTATAGTCGGCCAGGCATGGTGGCTCACACCTGTAATCTTTGCACACAGGGAGGCCAACGCAGGTGGATCACCTGAGCTCAAGAGTTTGACACCAGCCTCAGCAAGAGTGAGACCCTGTTTCTATTAAAAATTGTTGTGGCAGATGCCTGTAGTCCCAGCAACTGGGGAGGCTGAGGCGAGAGGATCACTTGGGCCCAAGAGTTTGAGGTTGCTGTGAGCTGTGACACCATGGCATTCTACCCAGGGCCACAGAGTGAGACTCTCTCTCAAAAAAAGAAGTATCCTATAGTCTACTTTTTGATTACATGCTTGTGGTATTATTTAGTGTGTTCTTTTTCCCCTTGGTATTATTTTCTGTAAATGGTTCAATTCAGTTTTGATATTTTTGGCAAGAATAATTCCTGGTAGTGTACTTCCATCAGGATGGCTCTGGATTGTGATGCCCATAGAACAGCTGTGTATGACTCAGACCTCTGGAATGGAAGTGCTTTGATAGGGTGACCTCATAGATGACTGAGTTGGGGGAGTGTGTTCCTCTGAAGCTATGCTGTTTTTGACAGGAGTGGACACTCGGGAGCTGACTAAGAAGTTACGGGAGCAAGGATCTCTGCTAGGGAAGCTGGTCCAGGATGGGACAGAGCCTTCATCCCTGCCTTTCTTAGACCCCAATGCCCTCCCCCTGGTGCCAGAGGTCTCCATTAAGGTACAGAGGTAGAGTGGGAGAATATTTCAAGCTGTAGGATAGTAGTTATATTCTGCCCGCAACTGGGGTGAACACTTGAGGGAGAATCAGAGGCCTCAAAGATCAGAGTTGGTGTGGGCATATCTTTTACCCACTGATAACAGCTACCAGCTATTACCCTGTCCTCTATTCCTCAGACTCCACGGGTATTCAATGCAGGGGGTAAACCTCGGATCCTTACTTTGGACTGTGGACTCAAGTATAATCAGATTCGATGCCTCTGCCAGCGTGGGGCTGAGGTCACTGTAGTACCCTGGGACCATGCATTAGACAGCCAAGGTGAGTAGTGTGGGCCTATCCAGGACTCAGACAAAATGTTTGGGTGGGAGATTTGTTCCTTGGTCCTGTTGCTAACAGTTGGTATGAGTTGCAGTGAAGAAGATAAACAACAGGACTTAGACTTTCATGGGAAAGGCTGCAGTTATGTCTTCTATTTGAAATGTTGGTTTTGACCTCATCTTTTCTGCCCACTCCAGAGTATGAGGGTCTCTTCCTAAGTAACGGCCCTGGTGACCCTGCCTCCTATCCTGATGTTGTATCCACGCTGAGCCATGTCTTGTCTAAGCCTAATCCCCGACCTATCTTTGGGATCTGCCTGGGACACCAGCTATTGGCCTTAGCCATTGGGGCCAAGACTTACAAGATGAGGTGGGACTTGTGGGGACCAGAAGGGGCTCACATGTGGGACAAGAGGGGTAAGATGTCTTGGAAATGGGAAGGAAGTTAGTATCTATTAGTATTGAAACAGGAGTGGGGCTAGAGAGGATTGTGAGATCAGCAAGGGCTGGGATTGGTGCAGTGGTGAAGACAAGGCAAGATAGGCCTGTGACTCAGCATGCTTCCATCTCCAGATATGGAAACCGAGGTCATAACCAGCCCTGCTTGCTGGTAGGCTCTGGACGTTGCTTTCTGACATCCCAAAACCATGGGTTTGCTGTGGAAACAGACTCACTGCCAGCGGGCTGGGTTCCTCTCTTCACCAATGCCAATGACCGTTCCAATGAAGGCATTGTACACAGCAGCCTGCCTTTCTTCAGGTGAGCGGTTCTAGCAGGGTGACTGGGTCTGTGCAGCTTTAAAGCCCTGTGGGCCTAGAAGATGAAAAAGTAAAGTGCAGTGGTGGACCTGAGTCTTTTGTCCCAGTACCTACCTGTGTAGCTGCCAGTGTCAGGCCAGTGCCCATAGTAGGTTTTGTGATCCTATCTCTTCAACAGTGTCCAGTTTCACCCAGAGCATCAAGCTGGCCCTTCAGATATGGAAATGCTTTTTGATATCTTTCTGGAAACTGTGAAAGAGGCCACAGCTGGGAACCCTGGTGGCCAGACAGGTAAGCCCCTGGGTAGAACTGGACTGTGGACCTAAGCTAGGAAGGGCATAAGATGGATATGCCCTAGGTATTCATGTGTACAGTAGAACCTCTTTGACTACCCGAGGGACTATAACAAACTGGTCAACATAAGGAACTAGGCCTACTGTACTGGTATATACATGTGGTGTACATCTGGTCTGTGAAAATTAGGTCACCTTAAGGAGGTGGTCAAGTACGGAGATTCTATTGTATTTAGGAAGTTATAAATAAGGGGATAGGTGGAGAGAGTAGGGGTGACCAAGCCAAGATAGTTTATGTGTCTTCTGTTGAAAGGAACTCCAGTGTCACAAGGTTTTGGTCCTCCCCTCGCTACTTATTAGATCCGTGATTTGTTCTAGAGTCTTCTGAAAGTAAAGAGGGTTTATCCAGGTGATTGCTTGGTCCTGCTCTAACATTGTATCAATTTTCTTTGTGCCACAGTTCATGAGCGGTTGATAGAGCGCCTCTGTCCCCCTGGGATTCCCACCCCGGGCTCTGGGCTTCCACCACCAAGAAAGGTTCTGATCTTAGGCTCAGGGGGCCTCTCTATTGGCCAGGCTGGGGAGTTTGACTACTCAGGATCTCAGGTAAGGCATGTCCATGCCACACTTCTAGGTATGGATGACCTTCAGGAATGGTTAGAGTGTTAGGAGAAGGGCTGAGGCATGAACATTGGTTGCGAGGAGGAAATGAAGCAGGAGACCTGGGGGATATACAGGAAGATTAGGTGATAAGGAATAGAGTCAGTTATTAGGGACCAAGTATGCAGGAAGGTACAAAGACTGTCTGCAATCTTGCTTCTGCAGTAGAAGCTGAGATGTCATTCTTGTCCTTTTTAGGCAATTAAGGCCCTGAAGGAGGAAAACATCCAGACATTGCTGATCAACCCCAATATTGCCACAGTACAGACCTCCCAGGGGCTGGCCGACAAGGTCTATTTCCTCCCTATAACACCTCACTATGTAACCCAGGTATGACTGGAGTAAGGCTGGGCTGAGAAGGGGCTTGTGGTGTGCAGGGGGTATTTAGTGGTCACTCTGAGTTTCCGAATGTCTTTGATCCACTCTCTACCCCTAAGGTCTTAATGCCTGTTACTCCTTTCTCCCTCCTCAGGTGATACGTAATGAACGCCCAGATGGTATATTACTCACTTTTGGGGGCCAAACTGCACTGAACTGTGGTGTGGAGCTAACCAAGGCTGGGGTGCTAGCTCAATATGGGGTTCGGGTCCTGGGCACACCCGTGGAGACCATTGAACTGACTGAAGATCGGCGTGCCTTTGCTGCCAGGATGGCAGAGATCGGAGAGCATGTGGCCCCCAGCGAGGCAGCACATTCTCTTGAACAGGTTTGAGTGGTGGTTGGGTAAAGGTAGGATGGTGTTCTGTTTATGTCTTATTTTTTCTGAGTCTAGGCAGCAAGAAGTGACTAGTTCATCTCTTTTACTCACTGTAGGCCCAGGCAGCTGCTGAGCGACTTGGGTACCCTGTGCTGGTGCGTGCAGCCTTTGCCTTGGGTGGTCTGGGCTCTGGCTTTGCCTCCAACAAGGAGGAACTCTCTGCTCTTGTAGCCCCAGCTTTTGCGCATACTGGCCAAGTGCTAGTGGACAAGTCCCTGAAGGGATGGAAGGAGATTGAGTATGAGGTGGTGAGAGACGCCTATGGCAACTGTGTCACGGTAAGTGATTTGGGGGTGGGGGAGGGGGCTGGGGGGAGGTGGTACAGGAGAATTGTGTGAGACAACATGAACTTTCAGAAGAGCAGAGTCCCAGGCTAAGGTCTATGAGGGTTCTGTGTCCCTCAGATCAGATTAGGTGCAGCCCCAGAGGTAACAGGACCCTGGGATATAACCTTTCGCCTCTCCTGTTGTCCTTGGCAGTGACCTTCATGGCACTTCCCTTCACAGGTGTGTAACATGGAGAACTTAGACCCACTAGGTATCCATACTGGTGAGTCCATAGTGGTAGCTCCAAGCCAGACACTGAATGACAGGGAGTACCAGCTACTGCGGCAGACAGCCATTAAGGTGACCCAGCACCTGGGAATTGTTGGCGAGTGCAATGTGCAGTATGCCCTGAACCCTGAGTCTGAACAGGTGAGACTCTAAGCCTTGGAGCTGATATTCTAGCTCTTATTTCTTCTTTCATAATTTTTAGGCCTCAAGGTTAAGAAGTCCTTTTTTCCTATAAGCCCTAAAGTAAAAACTGATTATCTTTGCTAGGGTTGGGCTTTGGGAAGTGCTAATTTTCTCTTTTAGAGATCTAGACTGGGTTTTCTAGATAGGTCAGATACCTGTTGACTCTCGTACTTTATTCTTCCTCTGTGCAGTATTACATCATCGAAGTGAATGCCAGGCTGTCTCGCAGCTCCGCACTGGCTAGCAAGGCTACAGGCTACCCACTGGCCTATGTGGCAGCCAAGCTGGCTTTGGGCATCCCTTTGCCTGAGCTCAGGTATGAGAGTGGAGGAGAAACCACACTGATAAGGGAGTGTGAAGCCAAAGAAAATACTCATGAGGCAGGGAATATGGAAAGGACGCTGGCCTGGATTTATGGGGATGACGAGAGCTATTGGAGAGCTCACCCTTTTTGTCTTCCTTTTTGTCCTGGAATCCCCACCTGCTGGCTCCCAGGAACTCTGTGACAGGGGGAACAGCAGCCTTTGAACCCAGCTTGGATTACTGTGTGGTAAAGATTCCTCGTTGGGACCTCAGCAAGTTTCTGCGTGTCAGCACAAAGATTGGGAGCTGCATGAAGAGCGTAGGTGAGAATCATACCACAAATTATTCCCGTGGGTCCCACCAGGACCAAGGATCTTGAATGTCAGGGTTCCTGGTGTAGTTTTTAACATCCCATATTGGCAGCTGCTTGGAAATGTGATCTCTAAGAGCTACTAGAGAAGTTTCAGACTAAGATAGGCCTCCTAATCAGAGCAGGTTGGGCATTAGAAATGTATGTTAGCGTATAGAGTTGAAGTTCTAGGACAGGGTGCATCCATCAGACTGTCTTGTCTGATGTTTTACAAGTAAGTAAGCTGAGGTGCCCACTGGAGGAAAGTGGCAAAGAACAGAGCCAACAACTGTGACTAGACCTGGTTCCCGGGGCTGCCTCTCCTCTGTTCCACTACGTAGCCTGCTGTGTGAAACCAGTTCCATGGAACTCCACCCACAGCATTTCATCCTCATGGCATTTTGCCCATGGCTTCATCAGTAGGTTTTTAATGCCAGTGACATTTTGTTCCCTGTGTTCTTTAAATACTGGTGTTTCAGGGAAACAGTTACTGCCTGTTTTCCTGTGAATCCTCTAAATCCAAGTAAGCACGGTGGTAGCCATTATAGGCATATCTCTTCCTGTGGCACTTTTTGCTTTGGCCACTAAATGAAATATTATTTAACATGATGTTAAGATTATAGCAGGGCATCAGAGACCTTTTTGATAACAAGGAAATATATTAGTGAATAATGAATGAGTGTAACAGTTACCCACCAAGCAGTGGTAGAGCAGAGCATGTTGGAATTGAGTTAATATGCTTTTTTGTTTATAGACTTTGTTTAAAGACTATCCTTTAAGGTATTTAAACCAAAAGAAGAATACATGTACCAGAAAAAAGTGCCCCCAGCTGAATGGATAAGAGGGTTTCATTATGCTCTATATTTCTACTTAGAGCAGTAAGTCCGTCTATGCTCAAATATTATTTCAGAATTTTTAGAAAACCTACGAGACTGCCAAGTTGTTCCTTCTGGAGATGAATTTCTGTTATATGAAAATTAGAATAAACATAGGAATGAAGCCATAATTAAATTGTGGCTAAAAGAAGTGAATTGAAAATAGGACAATCAAAGATTGATTCCAAGATGAGGCATTTAAATCTATTCAGGTGTTCTTGGAATGTGATCTTCTTTGCTAACTTTTTGTAACTTTTATTATATAAATAAGATACACAGGCTGGGCACACTGGCTCATGCCTATAAGCCTAGCACTCTAGGAGGCCACACTGAGCGGCTTACTTGAGCTCAGGAGTTCGAGACCAGCCTAAGCAATAGCAAGATGCCATCTCTACTAAAAATAGACAAACTAAGACAACAGGATCACTTGACTCCAAGAGCTTGAGGTTGCTGTGAGCTATAGTGCCATGGCACTCTACTCAGGGCACTAGAATGAGACTCTGTCTCAAAATTAAATGAATAAGATACACAGATCATTGAAAAAGTGAGAAAAGATAGTTTAATCAAAGAACAATAATCACTCATAATCTTGCCGTACAGAATTGATTAATTTGGCTACATATAGACTATTGCAGAAATTTTCTTCCTCTTTTTGTGACAGGGTCTTGCTCTGTCACCTGGGCTAGAATGCAATGGTGTCATCATTACTGACTGCAACTTCACACTCCTGAGCTCAAGTGACCCTCCTGCCTCAGCCTTCCAAGTAGCTGGGACTATAGGCACCCGCCACAATGCCTGGGTATTAATGTTGTTGTTTATTCATTTGTTTGGCAGGCTTGGGCCAGGTTCAGCCCCACAAGCCCCAATGCATGTGGCCCGCTCCCTAACCGCTGGGCTACAGGCACCAAGCTTGGTCTCAAATTCTTGGCCTTGGCTCAGCACCTGTGGCTAAGGCACCAGCCACATACACCTGAAGTGGCGGGTTTGAATCCAGCCCAGGCCCGCCAAACAACGACGGCTGCAACCAAAAAATAGCTGGGCATTCTGGCGGGCGCCTGTGGTGGTCCCAGTTACTTGGGAGACTGAGGCAGGAGACTCGCTTGAGCCTAGGAATTGGAGGTTGCTGTGAGCTGTGATGTCATGGCACTCTACCCAGGAGGACAGCTTGAGGCTCTGTCTCAGAAAAAAAAAAAAAAAATTCTTGGCCTCAAGTGATCTTCTTTTGTTAGCCTCCCAAAGTACTAGGATTGCAGGCATGAGCCACCCCACCCAGCCCTTAACTACAGAAATTTTCTTGATGTACAGTATGAGTGTATTGGGTTTCTCTTAATAAATCCCAAGGTAAAAAAGGATTTAAAATATAACCACAGTACAGAATTCATAATTCACTTTGTTAACTCTACTATTAGCATCTTGATGTTTTAAATTTCTTTTTAAAGAAATGTAAATGTTAGGTTTGTAAGCAGAAAAATACAATTGGTAAGAAATACTTGAAGCCTCTAGTATAAATGGTCAGAGGACTTGAATAAAACTTTATAGAAGAGGAAATCAAGAAACAAACCTGGAAAAAGAAAAATTTCTTCTTGTTAGCAAATAGAAGTCTAGTTAGAATGAGATTGTTTTTCCTTATTAATAAAAATCTAGGCTCGGCGCCTATAGCTCAACCGGCTAAGGCGTCAGCCACGTACACCTAAGGTGGCGGGTTTGAATCCCCAGCCCAGACCCACCAAACAACAATGACGGCTGCAACCAAAAAATAGCCAAGCGTTGTGGCGGGCGCCTGTGGTCCCAGCTACTTGAGAGACGAGGCAGGAGACTCGCTTGAGCCCAGGAGTTGGAGGCTGCTGTGAGCTGTAATGCCACTGCACTCTACCCAGGGGGACAGCTTGAGGCTCTGTCTCAAAAAAAATAAATAAATAAATAAAAATCTAAAATGATTATACTCACTTCTTAGAAGGTTGGTTAAACTTATGCTTTGTATTATAAAGCACAAACTTCTATAAATCACTTAGCACTTAGCAAGGGCCATGAAATTTGTTTTACCTATTGACCCTACACTTCTGGAAATTTGTCGTCAGAGATAATCCAGCTGGTCTCAGTGGCTCACAGAGGCTGAAGTGGGAGCATCACTTGTGGCCAGGAGTTTGAGACCAGCCTGGGCAATGTAGTGAGACCTCATCACTATAAAAAGTAAAAAAATTAGCCAAGCATAGTGGCTCATGCCTTTAATCCCAGCTTCTTGGGAGGAGGAAGGATCGCTTGAACTCAGGAATTCAAGGCTAGGGTAAACTAAGATTGTGCCACTGAACTCCAGCCTGAGCAACAGGGTGAGACCTGGACTCTTTAAAAAAGAAGATAATCCGGCTCGGCGCCTGTGGCTCAAGCGGCTAAGGCGCCAGCCATATACACCTAAGGTGGCGGGTTCGAATCCCCAGCCCGGGCCCGCCAAACAACAATGATGGCTGCAACCAAAAAAAAAAAAAAATGGCCAGGCATTGTGGCGGCCACCTGTGGTCCCAGCTGCTTGGGAGGCTGAGGCAGGGGACTCGCTTGAGCCCAGGAGTTGGAGGTTGCTGTGAGCGTGATGCCGTGGCCCTCTACCCAGGGGGATAGCTTGAGGCTCTGTCTCCAAAAAAAAAAAAAAATAAATAAATAAATAAATAAATAAATAAAAGAAGGTAATCCAAAACAGAAAATACTCAACAGCCTCACTTAAAATAATTAACATTTAAAAAGCAAACTTCCTTCAGGAAGTTGGCAAATTATAATAAATCACACAGGAATTATGCTGATGCTGATGAGGTCACAGCAATATGGAGGATGTATATGATGAGGGAAAAGGTGGGTAGAAACTGTATGTATGCTGTGTTCGTGAAAATTAAGATTTCTTAATAGTAAAACACTGAATCCCACCAGCATGAGATTTGCTTTGAGAATCTTCCAGAGTCTTGACTGTAAACCATAGGCATTATGGGCCTCCCTCACTCTTTCTACCTCCAGGCCCTCAGTCCTTCCTTCTTCCTCTTCCTCTAGGTGAAGTCATGGGCATTGGGCGTTCATTTGAGGAGGCCTTCCAGAAGGCCCTGCGCATGGTAGATGAGAATTGCGTGGGCTTTGATCACACGGTGAAGCCTGTCAGTGATATGGTAAGGAGCTCCTCTTCCCCCTAACACACCTACAATAAATCCTGCTTCTCTCCTCCTCCAGGCTTTGAGCTTATCACTAGTAACGCTTGCAGCAGTCATCATTGGACATTTGTTATATTTTCACTTCACTGAGAATTTTGTAATGTTGTGTCATTTGTCATTATCTAAAAATGTATTATTAGACTTGTCTTTACAGATGGGGAAACTGAGACCTAGAAAGGTTACGGAAATCTCCCAAAGTCACAGCCAGTGCCAGGATTTGTATCTAGGTTTTTGCAACCACAGAGCCTATCTATACTCTGGCATACAGTTTCCCTTTCTTAGGACAGTGGTAGCCACTCGTGCTCTTAGGCTTTTATAGGTGCTGGCAGGAGGTTGGGAATATTTTTGCTTCATATTCTGACATCTCCTACCTCGGCACAATACTTTCATATCTGTTTGCACGCTCCTCATCAGGAGTTGGAGACTCCAACAGATAAGCGGATCTTCGTGGTGGCAGCTGCTCTGTGGGCTGGTTACTCAGTGGATCGCCTGTATGAGCTTACACGCATTGACCGCTGGTTCCTGAACAGAATGAAAGGCATTATCACACACGCCCAGCTGCTGGAGCAGCACCGTGGACAGCCCTTGCCCCCAGACCTGCTGCATCGCGCCAAGTGCCTTGGCTTCTCAGACAAGCAGATTGCCCTTGCCGTTCTGAGGTCAGAGATGGCGGTGAGGGCCTTGGGCTGAGAAATGGGGGGCAGAGAACCTTTGGACTAGTAAGGGGTCCTTGGAAGGGATGGAGGAGAATGTGGGGAGCTTTAGAGGCTTCCAACCTTTGTCTCTGGGATATTTTCCTCTCTTTGCCCTGCCCTGTGCTCTCACTCTTCTATCAGTTTCTATCCTGTTCCCAGAGCCTATGTTTTGACTTTTATTCTTCTTTAGCACAGAGCTGGCTGTTCGCAAGCTGCGGCAGGAGTTAGGAATCTGCCCAGCGGTGAAACAGATTGACACAGTTGCAGCTGAGTGGCCAGCCCAGACAAATTACCTATACCTGACATATTGGGGCACCACTCATGACCTCACCTTTCGAACACCTCATGTCCTAGTCCTTGGCTCTGGTGTCTACCGTATTGGCTCTAGTGTGGAATTTGACTGGTGTGCTGTGGGCTGCATCCAGCAGCTCCGAAAGGTGAGGGTTCCCCTTTCATCCCAATTTCTCTGCTATTCTGTTCAGCTTTAGTGATTGCCTGGTACTCCCTACTGATTGCCACGCCTTACTTCTCTCATAGAGCTTTGGTTTGGGGTGCCCGTCTTAGACCATCTCTAATGCCCCACACAATGCATGAATCTCCATCCTGACACTTTGTGGGTTTTTTTGTTTTTTTGTTTTTTTTTTTGAGATGGAGCCTCAAGCTATCCCCCTGGGTAGAGTGTCATGGCATCACAGCTCATAGTAACCTCCAACTCCTGGGCTCAAGCGACTCTCCTGCCTCAGCCTCCCAAGTAGCTGGGACCACAGGCACCCGCCACAACGCCTGGCCATTTTTTTTTTTTTTTTTTTTGGTTGCAGCCATCATTGTTGTTTGGGGGGCCCGGGCTGGGGATTCGAGCCCGCCACCTTAGGTGTATGTGGCTGGCGCCTTAGCTGCTTGAGCCACAGGTGCCGAGCCCATCCTGACACTTTGTACCTCACTCCTAAGGCAGATGTCCTGTGCAGCTGGTTCAAGGCAGGCTGGGCTAACACTCTCTGAAGTAGGAGCTTTGGCTTAATTTCTCTGGGATTTTTCTCCCACTTGATTGTGTTCCCCTCCCTACTGCAGATGGGGTATAAGACCATCATGGTGAACTACAACCCAGAGACAGTCAGCACCGACTATGACATGTGTGATCGACTCTACTTTGATGAGATCTCTTTTGAGGTAAAAAGGATGAGCGCTGCCTGGTAGCGTGGGTGACCAGGATTGAGCAGGACTGGCTGGCTGACCTCAAAGTGTTTGGGGCTTGGCATGGGAGGCAGGGGGAGCAATGAACAAGAAGGCTTAGGTCCCTGACTGCTTTTGTTGTAACCACTTGTTTTTCCCCTTGCACTGTGTAGGTGGTGATGGACATCTATGAGCTGGAGAACCCTGAAGGCGTGATCCTATCCATGGGTGGGCAGCTGCCCAACAACATGGCCATGGCTTTGCACCGGCAACAGTGCCGTGTACTAGGCACCTCCCCTGAAGCCATCGACTCAGCTGAGAACCGTTTCAAGTTCTCTCGTCTCCTGGACACCATTGGCATCAGCCAGCCTCAGTGGAGGGAGCTGAGTGACCTAGAGGTGGCTGGGGCCTGGTGGGAGACCTGATGCCCGAACGATGTTAGGAGTAAATGTAAGCAACCCAGCTAAGCTCCCTGTCTCCTGCAGTCTGCTCGCCATTTCTGCCAGACCGTGGGATATCCCTGTGTGGTGCGCCCCTCCTATGTGCTGAGTGGTGCTGCTATGAATGTGGCCTATACTGATGGGGACCTGGAGCGCTTCCTGAGCAGTGCAGCAGCTGTCTCCAAAGAGCACCCTGTGGTCATCTCCAAGTTCATCCAAGAGGCCAAGGTGGGAGGCTGTAGGCAAAGAAGTCTGAGAGCACCCTCCCAACCTCAGAGGAGACTCTCTGGTCCTGCAGAATTTTAGGCACGGTGTGTTTTGTGGAAGCTGTTAAAGGAAAGAAGCTTCCTAGGGCAAGTGGGAGAAAAAAGTGGCCCTTGCCCCACACTGCCCGTTCCCCCCACTAGGAGATTGACGTGGATGCTGTGGCCTGTGACGGTGTGGTGGCAGCCATCGCCATCTCTGAGCATGTGGAGAATGCAGGTGTTCATTCAGGTGATGCCACACTGGTAACCCCCCCACAAGACATCACCCCCAAAACTCTGGAGCGGATCAAAGCTATCGTGCATGCTGTGGGCCAGGAGCTACAGGTCACAGGACCCTTCAATCTACAACTCATTGCCAAGGTAATAAGACTAAAAGCTCCCAGCTCCTGCACATTCTGTGCTGGCCAAAGTGCGATTGGACCCTGAGCTGTATCCTGCCCACATCTGAGTAGACAGGAAAGCTGGCAGGAAAGGGCCATAACTGGAGCCCACGGTATTGTTGGGGTTTGTGACAGTGACCTTGAACCTTGTTCAGTTACCCACAGACTGGAGAAGGAGGGGAAGAGTCATGTTCAATGGAGTAGTCACCAGCCTGGGGAAGGGCTGACCTATTCTTCTCTGCCCCAGGATGACCAGCTGAAAGTTATTGAATGCAATGTGCGCGTCTCCCGCTCCTTCCCCTTCGTCTCCAAGACACTAGGTGTAGATCTAGTAGCCTTGGCCACACGCGTCATCATGGGAGAAGAAGTGGAACCTGTGGGGCTCATGACTGGCTCTGGAGTTGTGGGGGTAAAGGTAAGAAACCCATGAGGTTAACAGAGAAAAAGTGAAGGGGAGCTCATTAGCCACATGGTTGTCAGTCAGCATGTAGCAGGCATCAGCTGCAAGGCATTGCCCAACCACGAAGATGAAAAGGTAGTCTTTGTCCCATAGGAGCTTACATACACTATGGGAGGCAAGAGAAGTTGGATCTAAAAGTAGCTTTGGCATGGAACAGTCTGATGAAACTACTTATCCAAGGTATAAACAAAATACTATAGGAGTTTAGTACAAGAAAAGCCACTTCCAAAAGAGCTGACCTGAGAAGGCTTGAGAGAATGGTTGGTATTTGGATTGAGTGATGAAGAGTGGTTAGGATTTTTTTTTCTTTGATATAGGGTCTCATTCTATTGCTCTGGGTAGAGTGCAGTGGCATCATCATTGCTCACTGCAACCTCCAACTCCTGGACTCAAGGGATATGTCTGCCTCAGCCTCCTGAGTAGTTGGGACTACTGACCTGTTCCACCACACCCAGCTAAATTTTTTTATTTTTTATAGAGATAGGATCTTGCTATGTTGCCTAGGCTGGTTTTGAACTCCTGACCTCAACAGATCCTCCCACTTTGGCCTCCCAAAGTGTTAGGATTACAGGTGTGAGCCACCATGCCACTGGCCTGGTTAGTATTTTCCTTTTTTTCTTTTTGCAGTTTTTGGCCGGGGCTGGGTTTGAACCCGCCACCTGTGGCATATGGGGCCGGCGCCCTACTCCTTCGCCACCCCTGGTTAGTATTTTTGATTTACAGAGCTTGTAGGTCAGGGCACAGTTTAAGCAGAACCCAGGAGTGGATCCACAGTGTGTTTGGGAAGCAGTGGGACACACAGAGACTAGTGACCAGTGGGCAGGTGACTTTTCTGTTCTGTCTGCCCCTCCAGTGGCCCCCTCTCTTCCATCTGCTCACTCAGGTGCCTCAGTTCTCCTTCTCCCGGCTGGCGGGTGCTGACGTGGTGTTGGGTGTGGAAATGACCAGCACTGGGGAGGTGGCTGGCTTTGGGGAGAGTCGCTGTGAGGCCTACCTTAAGGCCATGCTAAGCACTGGCTTCAAGATCCCCAAAAAGAATATCCTGCTGACCATTGGCAGCTATAAGGTACTGGAGTCCAGGGAGGGTTGCCTGGGTGGCCTTGGCACTTGGGCCAGGGCTAACCTTGAGGTGGAAGCCAAGAGAAGCTCAATCTCATCATCCTTCTGCTTGCTTCTAGAACAAAAGTGAACTGCTCCCAACTGTGCGGCTGCTGGAGAGCCTGGGTTACAGCCTCTATGCCAGTCTGGGCACAGCTGACTTCTACACTGAGCATGGTGTTAAGGTACAGGACTCTGGCAGCCCACTCCACCACTGCCCTTCCCCAGGATGGAAAACATTGCTCCAGAGACTTCTTTCCCTATTCCTCTGCTTTTGTTACTACTTTTGTGATAGATAATGTATATTCCACATTGAACAAGTAGAATGTATGGAAAAGCAAAGGGAAAAAGAATGCCTTATGATTTTTCTACCACCTTCCCAAGTTTCATCTGTGTGTACTTGTGTGAGCTCATACTGCACATGGTGCTTGGTGACCTGTCTTATTTGACATAGTGTAGACATCTTTCCTGTCAAGAAATATATCTTGCTGATAACAAACAGAGGGAGCCCCTGGTCCTCACCATACAGATCCTTGGTCTCCTGACCTTGACTCTGGGTTGGTAGGTAACAGCCGTGGACTGGCACTTTGAGGAGGCTGTGGATGGTGAGTGCCCACCACAGCGAAGCATCCTGGAGCAGCTGGCTGAAAACCACTTTGAGCTAGTGATTAACCTGTCCATGCGTGGGGCTGGGGGCAGACGGCTCTCCTCCTTCGTCACCAAGGGCTATCGCACCCGGCGCCTGGCTGCTGACTTCTCTGTGCCCCTCATCATCGATATCAAGTGTACCAAACTCTTTGTGGAGGTAACTGAGCCCTGGGTGCTGAGGGGAAGCCAGCCAGTGATGAGGGAAGAAGAGGAGTAGAAAGACTCTTTGGGGTTGGGAAATAGCATTTTAGAGCAGCCATGCTGATGAAGCTCTCTGGCTACAGAGAGGAGGGAAGGTGGGCATGGAGGGTGCAGAGCCTGGTTTGTGAGAAAACCCAATCCTACCTATAACTGTCTTGCCTTAAATCAAAGTTGACCGTGCTTTCCACTCACAGGCCCTAGGTCAGATCGGGCCGGCTCCTCCATTGAAGGTGCACATTGACTGTATGACTTCCCAAAAGCTTGTGCGACTACCTGGTAAGTGCATCTTTTGAGGGAACTTGGCTTCTGGACCCTGGTATAGAGACCCTCAGCGAGGTGAAGGATGGCTGGGGGCCCACTCCGCCTTGGGCTGTAGAGACAACTATAAAGACCCCAGAATCTTTCTTACTCTGAGCTTTTATTCCTCGATCCACAGTGCCCTTGACTGTCCTCAGTCACCTTGTCACCTCTTGCTTATGTCAGTTGCCACTAATTGTCCTCACCTCTTTGACATTCTTCATGTTTCTGAATCTTCCTCTAATCTTGCTGCCCCATGTTCTCCCAGGATTGATTGATGTCCACGTGCACCTGCGGGAACCAGGTGGGACACACAAAGAAGACTTTGCCTCAGGCACAGCTGCTGCCCTGGCTGGGGGTATCACCATGGTGTGTGCCATGCCTAATACCCGGCCCCCCATAATCGATGCCCCAGCTCTGGCCCTGGCCCAGAAGGTGAGCCACTGTGCCTTTGCTTCATGCTATCAGAGACCCACGTGCACCACTAGCCCACCCTTGTCTCCTTGCCCTCTGCCCTTTTTCCTCTGCCCCTTACCATGAGCGCCCAAGACACTGATGCCAGGCTGGCCTATGCGGACGTGGATGCTAACAAGCTTTATCTTGTATGCACCCTCTCCAGCTGGCAGAGGCTGGCGCCCGCTGTGACTATGCCTTATTCCTGGGGGCCTCATCTGAAAACGCAGGGACCCTGGGCAGTGTGGCTGGGTCTGCAGCTGGGCTGAAGCTCTACCTCAATGAGACCTTCTCTGAGCTGCGGCTGGACAGTGTGACCCAGTGGATGGAGGTATGGAGTGTGCACGTGTGTGGGGGTAGGGGTCAGGCAGGAGGCCACCACCCAGATCTTCTGTCTGAAGGGCCCCTGCCTAAGTGGGCTGACGGCAGTGAGGGTTCAGGGGAGCACCTGAGGGCTGTGGGCCCTGACAAGCATGGACAGTCAAAAGCTCTGCACACTCCCTTATCAGTTCTTTCTGCCCCCAGCACTTTGAGACATGGCCATCCCATCTCCCCATCGTGGCCCATGCAGAGCGGCAGAGTGTGGCCGCCATCCTCATGGTGGCCCAGCTGACCCAGCGCTCAGTGCACATATGTCACGTGGCACGGAAGGAGGAGGTGAGAGTGTGCCAGAAGCCCCAGTTCCCCTGTTGCTTTCCCAGTAACATCAAAGGTCAGGGTAGTCCTTGGGGGCAGAACTTTGAGCTGGCACCCTTTGGCACCCTTGCCCTTATATGTCTGCCTTCTTCCCAGCAAGTATGCTGGCCGAGGGGACTTTGTGGGGCAGAGCATATGGGACATCTCTGTCCTCTTCTTCCTAGATCCTGCTGATTAAAGCTGCAAAGGCCCAGGGGGTACCAGTCACCTGTGAGGTGGCACCCCACCACTTATTCCTGAGCCAGGAGGACCTGGAGCGCCTGGGGCCTGGGAAGGGGGAAGTGCGGCCCAAGCTTTGCTCTCACCAGGACATGGAAGCCCTGTGGGAGAACATGGCTGTCATTGACTGCTTTGCCTCAGACCACGGTGAGAGGACCCAGCATGCCCACAAGCTGTGGAGCAGCCCCAGCAAGATAATGGGAACGGAGCCAGGACTCTGGGCTCCAAGAGGATAGGGTATTGATCTGTGTAGGACTCTAACCTCTAAGACAGTGCCTGGTCTGTGGTAGGTAAATTCTCACTGAAAGAACAAATAAGTGATGAGTAAAATTATAAATGGGAGAATATATGGGTAAAAGTATGGGCCCCAAAAGATGGCAGCAGTCCCATTTCCCTAGCTTCAATTCCCAGAGAAAATGATCATTGGGATTGGTAGTGAGTATGAGGTAGCTGGAATTGTAGTACTAGGGTGTGTGCCTTCTCAGATTTGAGGGTGGTGAGCCCCAAAGGGTAATGGCTTTCTTTCTCCCAGCCCCCCATACCTTGGAGGAGAAGTGTGGACCCAAGCCTCTGCCTGGCTTCCCAGGGCTAGAGACCATGCTGCCATTGTTGCTGACAGCTGTCAATGAGGGCCGGCTCAGCCTGGATGACCTGCTGCAGCGCCTACACCACAATCCTCGGCGCATCTTTCACCTGCCCCCACAGGAGGATACCTATGTGGAGGTGTGGGGATGAGGCCCAGAGCGGGTGGGGGACTCCCCAGCCCTAGATCTGTTCCCTGGCATGGCCTTTCCCTGGCATAACCCATGATGCTCTGTGCAGGTGGATCTGGAGCACGAGTGGACAATCCCCAGCTACATGCCCTTCTCCAAGGCCCACTGGACACCCTTCGAAGGGCAGAAGGTGAAGGGCACCGTCCGGCGCGTGGTCCTACGAGGGGAGGTTGCCTACATTGACGGACAGGTATGTGGGTGGCCCCTGCCTGATCTCAGTAGTGACCTCTTCCATGCAACTTCAGTTTTTTTCCTGCCTGGCACTTCTACATGGCACCACTGCCCCTCCATCTGCTCTGTGCCCAGGCCAGGGGCCAGGGATAGGGCATAGCTTTCCACAGCATTTCTGGCTTTGCTGGCATCTGCTCCTTTAGGACTCCAGTGTGGCTCTCCTCCCCCCATTGCCTTGTGGTGTTGTCTGTCTGCAGGTTCTGGTGCCTCCAGGCTATGGACAGGATGTACGGAAGTGGCCTCAAGGGGCCGTTCCCCAGCTCTCAGCTCCTGCCACCAGTGAGATAAACACGGTATCCACACTGAGGGGCTGTGGTTGGCTGGGAGGGCCCGGGTATGTGCCGAGGGGCAGGAATAACAGCTTGAACATTTTCACTGGTGGTTCAGGGGGTAAAAGGTGCTACTCTTGACAGTTGAAATCACCGCATACCTCTTTGTGTGCCCCAAAATATAAAAGTAACTGCACTCTAGAGGTTGCCTGTGAGCAGCACAAGCCCTGTTGTCAGTTCAACCATAATAATTGTCTGGGGCCCTGTCAGTGATGGGCACATACCTGTAAGAGGTCAGTTTATCTGCCACCTATTGACAACATACTGGAGGGATGGAGCTGAAGGAAGATAATGTGGAGTGGAATCCACGTGGACAAGGAACACTTGGGCTTTTCCTGAGGCATTAAATTTGAAGTGGGGTTGGGTCACTTTTCAAAATGCTGGGCCAATGTTATCACTCCAGACACCTGAAAGGCCTCGCTGGGGCATCCCAGGACTTCCTGATGGCCGGTTCCACTTGCCACCCCGAATCCACCGTGCCTCTGACCCTGGTCTGCCAGGTAAGAGGAGAAATTCCTATGACTCGTGTAGGGACAGGGTCCTCTTCCTTCTAGTACTTCTCTTTCATCCACTTACCCTGTCCTTCTCTCCATCCTTCATCCTAGTCTGATCTGCTGTACTCTCCTTTGCCTAAATAAGTCTCCCCAGCGTGAGTAGACATCCCAGTGTCTCACAGGCCCTTTTTTGTTGTGGGCAGCTATGTTCCTCCGCCTGGGAGCTGGGATCCCATGGGGCAGCAGAGCGTGGGGTAAATCCAGGTTGTTGGTTGGAGTGAGTCTGGCTGTTCCTCTTGCCTAGGATCCTTTTACCAACTGGGATATCCACAGGAGGGTACCCTGCTCCCACACAACACAGCCCCTGTGGGAAATCTCATGTCTGTCCCCAGAGCTGCTGCAGTCCTTCCTGTCCTCCCCTAACCTTCTGTCATTACTGTGGTGTGCACTGGTTTAACATACACTGTGACCCAGCGTTCCTGGGAATATGGGATCTCTTTCCAAACCTCAGCCACAAACTACATCTAGCCTGTTGCCCTGTTTACAGCTGAGGAGCCAAAGGAAAAGTCTTCTCGGAAAGCAGCTGAGCCAGGTAAGAGGCTCTGCCCTGACACACACACACCTTGGGGACTTCTGTGATCTGGCCTGGGTTGGAGGAACCCTCTGACCAGCTTCTCCTCCCCATCCCCCACTGCAGAGCTGATGGGAACCCCTGACAGCACCTGCCACCCTCCACCACCAGCACCTAGACAGGCATCACCCCAGAACCTAGGGACCCCTGGCCTTCTGCATCCTCAGACCTCACCCCTGCTGCACTCGTTAGTGGGCCAACATATCCTGTCTGTTAAGCAGTTCACCAAGGACCAGGTACCTGGGGTGGGGAGGATGGGATGCCCAGAATTTTGAGGATTTGGAAAGTTGGGGCTAGGACCTCCGGGAGCTGCTCGCTGCCTTTCCAGCTGACATGGGGTCTTTCAGATGTCTCACCTGTTCAATGTGGCACACACACTGCGGATGATGGTGCAGAAGGAGCGGAGCCTCGACATCCTCAAGGTCAGCATCAGGGCCTAGGGGCTGAGGGTCTTATGGCTGTGGCAGGACAGTGCTGTGCATTGGTCAGAGTGGCTCTTCTTCCCCTGTCTTTCCCTCCTCAAAGCAGGACATATCTGACTAGGGAGGCTCTGGGCATCAGCCCACTTGTGGGACTGTGTGATCTGTGCTGATGACAAGAGAGAGAGCTAGGGTATATCCTCACAGGCCACTCACACCACCATAGGTTTCTGGAGAGAGAGCTTTTAGCTCATAGTGATGCTAATAGAGAAAATGTCAAGGATTTTACAGGTCACAGGAAGTTTGGGTAGAGGTGGGTGCTGGCCTGTGTGCTACCCGAGGTGAAGATGCATTCACACACTTTCCACCTTGCCCTCTCCCCAGGGGAAGGTCATGGCCTCCATGTTCTATGAGGTAAGCACACGGACCAGCAGCTCCTTTGCAGCAGCCATGGCCCGGCTAGGAGGTGCTGTGCTCAGCTTCTCGGAAGCCACTTCCTCTGTCCAGAAAGGCGAGTCCCTGGCTGACTCTGTGCAGACCATGAGCTGCTATGCAGATGTCGTCGTGCTTCGGCACCCCCAGCCCGGAGCAGTAGAGGTGAGGCTGGCCTGTGTGCCGATGGGGTTGATAAGGCTGGACTCAGGGACATCAGGTCCCTTCTACCCACATTTTCAGTGACTACAGGTCTCGGGTTGGGCCAGATGAGTGAGGGGACTCCAGAAGAGTGACACTGAGGCAGGGAGGGGCTGCAGAAGACAGGGTTCTACCACCTTGTCCCTGTTTTCCCAGTTGGCAGCCAAGCACTGCCGGAAGCCAGTGATCAATGCTGGGGATGGGGTTGGAGAGCATCCCACCCAGGCCTTGTTGGACATTTTCACCATCCGGGAGGAGCTGGGGACTGTCAATGGCAAGACGGTGAGGCTGGTGGCAGGCATGGGGAGCCCTGCTAGGGGAAGGTTTGGAAGAAGAGGCGATTAGGAAGTAGTTTCTCCAGTCCAGGACATGCTGCATCAGGGAGGCCCAGATCCTACTCCTCAGGCTTTTGAAAGCTCTGAAGTGGTAGTAAGGTGCATTGTCTCATGCCTATAGTCCTAGTACTCTGGGAGGCCAAGACGGGTGGATCATATGAGCTCAGAAGTTTGAGATCAGCCTGAGCTAGAATGAGAGCCTATCTCTACTAAAATAGAACAATTAGCTGGGCATTGTGGTAGGAGCCTGTAGTCCCAGCTACTCAGGAGCTAAGGCAGGAAGATCGCTTAAACCCAGGAGTTTAAGGCTGACAGCTTGGCACTCTATCCTGGGCAAGAGTGAGACTCTGTCTCAAAAAAAAGAAAAGAAGTGGAAGGAAGGGCACTCAGTCTGGGGTCCCTATGGTGATTAGATTCCTCCTTAGATCACAATGGTGGGTGACCTGAAGCATGGACGCACAGTGCATTCCCTGGCCTGCCTGCTCACTCAGTACCGGGTCAGCCTGCGCTATGTGGCTCCTCCTAGTTTGCGCATGCCATCCCCTGTGCGGGACTTTGTGGCCTTCCGTGGCACCAAGCAGGTGAGACTTATAGCTCAGCCAGAGGTTGTGGAGGCGTGTTGGGCAGTCAGCCCATCACTGTATTCACTGTGGCTGCACCTCACCCTCCAGGAGGAATTTGAGAGCATTGAGGAGGCACTGCCCGACACAGATGTGCTCTACATGACTCGAATCCAGAAGGAACGATTTGGCTCTACCCAGGAGTACGAGGCTGTGAGTGCCAAACTTGAGGAAGGGCTGGAGCAAGAGGGTAGGAAGGCTGGGCAGTGAGGCTGGGTCAGAGATGTTTAAGCCTCGGGCCCCTCTGTTGCCATAGGTGTGTGTGGGCCTGGAGGGGTTGAAGCCCAGACTGTGTCCTCTGTAGCCACCCCTGTGCCAAGGCACTAATGAGGACCCCATCTGCCTTTCAGTGCTTTGGTCAGTTCATCCTCACTCCCCACATCATGACCCGGGCCAAGAAAAAGATGGTGGTGATGCACCCAATGCCTCGTGTCAACGAGATAAGGTGATGCAGCATCAAATTTGGAGACTGCTTAGGAGTGGCTGTAGGACGGGGATAGCCCACTGTGTGCTGCATGGTAACTCTTTTTCTTCTTTTGCAGTGTGGAGGTGGACTCAGACCCCCGAGCAGCCTACTTCCGCCAGGCCGAGAACGGCATGTACATCCGCATGGCTCTGTTGGCCACTGTGCTGGGCCGTTTCTAGGCTCTGGTTTCTTAGCCTCTTTTCTTCTGGCCCAGCTGCTGGGCAAGGAATTCAGTGCCCCCCACGGGGGCAGCACACTTAGTAGGTACTCTGGCTCTGTGAAGAATAATGTCTATATTATTCATACATGAAGACCACGCTTCAGGCCCTGGGCTGGAGCTCTCTAGCATGGGGCTGAAACCTCAGATACTGGGGCCCAGTCTGCCCCATCTTCATACTTGCACCTTAAGTCTGTACAGTCACTTTTCTACTGACTTAATAAACAGCTGAGCTGTTTCCTTCCTGCTTCCTTGTGAATTTCATGCTTTTAGCATGAGGTGCTGAGTGTAGTAGAATTCTTTTAAAAAATGGGACATATTCCCAAATGACAAGGGCAGCGTCACTGAGCAGGGCTGTGGCTCTGGCTAGGGCTGAATATAAGCTCAGCACTCTCAGAGCCATGGTCCTTTTGGACCCCTGCAGGAGCATGTTACTTTGTTGGTGTTCTCTGAGTCCTGGGCTACACTGGTACCCAAGCTAACCTGCAGACTCTAGCTAGTGTCCAGCCCCCCGCTTCCACAATTAAGTTGCTCTCAGAGTCCTGACACCAAGAGGGTGCCCAAGTGTGGTGAAAGGAAGACTGAGCACCCTGGTCTGGTCTGATGAAGTTCATTATCTTCTAGCCCTTTCCTCTTCCCACTTCTTTCTGCTTAGTCCTCTCTGGTGGCTAAAGTTGTCATGGTGTTCTTAAAACCTTGCCCTGGAGTTCTGTAGCCATCATTACTGTTTGGAGATCTACCTTCCCTGGGAGCCTCTGCCTGACACTGGACTTGGGGGCAGATTTTGGCTTAGAGACCCCAGGGTAGGGGGTTGGGTGGAGTAGCTCGTGTGTCTTTGCAGGTGAGGGCTTCTGAGGAGCAGCTATTCCAGTCTATGAACTTGAGTGGCATTGGAGAATGCTCTCATTTCTTTTCTTTTTTTTTTTTTT